ACAGGCGCCCGCCACAATGCCTGGCCATTTTTTGGTAGCAGCCGTCATTGTTGTTTGGCAAGCCCAGGCTGGATTCAAACCTGCCACCTTAGGTGTATGTGGCTGGCACCTTAGCCACTTGAGCCATAGGCGCCGAGCCTACCCAGCCTCTTTATGCCTCTCACAAAATAGGCATAATAACCAAGCTGCAGGGCCATCATAAATGTGTTAGTTAGTTATTACAGTGCCTCCAGAGATTTTTCTTTTTCCTCTGAAGATTTTTAAGGGCCAAAGCTATTCCTAGGCACTGAAGTTGATTTCTTAAGGGCTTGATGGCTCTGCAATCTCACACAACCTTGCACACCAAAGCTTTGAAAGCCCAGGTCAGGGTGCCAGCAGACTATAGGTGCCAGGTTTTCCCCACCTTACTCCTGACACTCCATCCTTGGCATTAGCACCCAAGGAGCTCAGCTGGAGCCCAGAGAGCAGTCTATTAGGCCTGTGAGAAGCCTATACCCTACTTTGGCAGTCTGGAGGGCTCTGATTATCATAGTTGAGCTGACAGCAGCCAGAGAGCATGACATCCCCAAGCCATGGATAGGGATCCTACCCCCAGGACTCCAATACCACACAGACTATGGGAGGCAGGAACATCACCCACAGGGTCAAGCCACCCTACAATCTACATCAGCCACCCAGGGTACTACCTGAAGCAGGAGAGGCTCACTCCCACACAGGGGCACAGGACAGTCCTTCCTCACCATGGCTCCATGGGCTTTTTGGCCATGAGCCTTCTAGATGGCATCTCTGACTGGAATGCCCAACAACAGGCTTCCCTGTGGGTGAGACAAAGGTTGCTGCTCCCAGGAAGGAGGACCAGAGTTTCTCTTCAGAGTAGGACTGCCTGAACCTCAGGGGTTCTCATGCCTGCCACCCACTGCCCGGGACAACCAAGCCCAGATAGGCTGGGCTGAGCATCTTCCTACAGCAGCCAATAAAGGTAGGGCACTGGGCCAGCAGATGTTCTGCCACTGCCATGTGGACCTGGGCCTAGCTTCTGGGGAGCTTGGATGGGCTGAGTGGAAGGAGGGTCCTTCTCACTTTGTTCTTGCCCCAGCCAGCCCTGGCAAGCAGCCTGTGACCTCTGCTTGACAGTACACTCTAAGTTAGAGCTGGAGGGCTCTGGAGACCTTTTTGTGACCAACCCTCTCTGTGGGAACCAGAGACCACAACAGGGCGGGGATTGGTGAAGGTCACCAGATTGGCCTCTTTCAAACTCCAGGGAATATCAAGTCCTGGATCTCCCTGAGGACTCCACCAGCAGGTGAGCTCTGCTCTTAGACCTGCTGGGCAGCAGCCAGCTCCCCACCTTCTTCTCCTACCAGCTCACAAGGCAGGGACAGGCCTCTCCGAGGACAGATTCCTGGGGAGGAGACTCCTGAGTCATCTCTGCACAGCCTCCTCTCCCCCAGTATACTTTCAAATACTCAAGCAGCCAGATTCCCCAGAATGGGGGCCCCCCAAATTCACCTGGAATAGAGTGAGGGTCTGGGCCTTATACCATCAAACTCCAGGCCCTCCAAATGATTTTTGCATTTGGATTATTGTTTTTTTTTAATTGTGGTAAAATATACGTAATATAAACTTACCATTTAAGTATATAGCTCAGTAACATTAAGTACATATTGTTGTTCAACCTTCACCACCCATCTCCAGAACTTTTTCAACTTCTCAAACTGAAACCCTGTCCCCATGAAACACTGACTCCCTCCCCCCAACCTCTGGCACCCCCACTCCCGTCTCTATGACTTTGGCAGTGTAGGCACCTCATATAAATGAAATCCTACAGTGTGTCCTTTTGTGACTAGTTTCCTTTACTTACCATAGCCATCTCAAGGCTCATCCATGTTGCAGCACGTGTCTGAATTTATTGTTAAGGCTGAATAATCTCCCACTGTACATATATATCACATTTTGTGTATCTATTCACTTGTCCTTGGACACTTGGGTCACGTCCACCTTTTGGCTGCTGTGAATACTACGGGAAACATTGAGTATGCACTGTGCTTTTACTTCTTCTGGAAGTGGAATTCCTAGATGTCCAAAACTTTCTAGCCTGAAACTTCTCCCCAGAGAAAATACTGGATCAACATCAAAACTACCAGACTATGGGCTCTGACCTTCCCTCTCCCAAACGCAGCCCTGGGCAAATGTTCAGGCTTTTCAGGTTCTATCCAAGCCCTTTGAGAACCACCCAATAGGCTGTGACAGGTCAGGCCCCCTCCCTTTGGGAGACCCCAAGAAAGCACTGCCCAGGAGTCAGGAGCACTGTGTTCTCCCAGGGTTTGCTGTGATGCTTCCCTGCTTTCCTTCTCTCCTTGGGCCCGGTGCTCAGGTCAAGGAATGTTGGGGTTGGGGGGAACAGCCTACAGAAGCCCTGCTTGTGCTGAGAGCCTGTGACTCTAAGTCCTGCTCCCTTATATAACCCCAAACAAACTCTGGTAAACAGAGTGATGGCAGTGGGGACCATAAAGGTGGTACTGAAGGCCATAGCCTGGTCCGGCCTGAGTCCCTGGGCCAGTCCAAAGTACCCAGCCTTAGGCCTCCAGGCTGCAACATGGAGACCTACCCTTTGGGTGCTGAAGCCTGGGTAATCCCCCACACTTGGAGCTCCCTGTACCTCCCTGATTTTTTGTCTTCCCACTACCTGATTAGGGTCCAAAGCAATGCTGGGTCTCTCTTCCTCCCATTTCCTGCTCTGATTCTCCCTTGATCCTGGCCCAGGGAAGGCATTACCTTCATGGTCTGATGGTTCTCGTGCATGAGGTAGGCCACAGTGGCCGCACAGCTGCGACTGATACCCCTGGTGGAAAAGATCAGAATGACAGAACCGAGCTCCATGTGTATTTCTGGAAAAAAAGGGAAGGGGGGCTGTCATGCAAGGACCTCCTTTCTGTGGGTCTGGCTGTCCATCAGACATAGGCCTCAGAGGGCCCATAGCCTAAGAGTGAGTTCAGAATCAGCATGAGTGTCCTGGGCAAGTCATATGACTTCTCCAGGACACTGTTTCATTTTCTGGCCTGGCCAGAAGTTCAAGAAGACTGTGCCTGGGCATGGAGCATCATTAGGCAAAGCCCTGTTCCTGGCCTCCAGCCCAGAGGGGGGATGACAGGATCATGCCTCAGGGACTTTTGAACATTAACAGAGGCAGTGTGGCTTGGATGTAAACTCTAGCCCTGCCACTCACTGGTTATAGGGCTTGGCCAAGTTGCTTCATGGCACAGTTTCTTCATCTAGAAAACAAATAAGGGGCAAAGAGGAAGTCTAAGCTGACATCCTGGGCTGGGTTAGTAACCCTCAAGAGCTGATGATAAAACTCAAGTGCAGAATCACAGACTGTTCAGGGCTGGAGCAGGACTCAGAGATGATTCAGGCCAACTGAATGGATATGGATGAAGAAACAAAGGCTCAGATCAGTTAAAGACTGTCCCTGAGCTATCTAGGGAGATAAGGCCCGGACAGGGGCCCCTTTGGCCACAAGACTTTGCCATCTCAGGGTGGGACACATGAAAAGTCTCAGTCTCAGATCCTAGTCAAGCAAGAATTGCCATTTGCCAGGCAAATAAAGTGATGGTTGGGCCAAAATGCCATGGAGAAACTTGGTCCAGGGACTGCACTGGTACCAGGCAGGCAGTCACAAGGGGTGGGGCCTCTGACCTGACTCAGCCTTGCTCTCTCCAGGGAACTTGCTTTCCTGGGGGGCAATCCTGAGCTGTGCAATGAAGAAAAGTCTATCCCCAAAGAGTAAAGTAACTGGCAGTCATTGCTTGTACATGGTGGGAGGACAGGGGCTGGGTGCATACACTGAGAATCATAGAAGTCAGAACTCGGAGGGCTCTGGAGTCTTCCTTCTTCCCCAGCCCACCCTGTTGACCAGGGATGAGAGCAAGGATGAAGCGAGAGTGACCTTCAGGTCCCCAGAGCTCAGGCCAGAGCAGGCCTAAAAGGACTAGCAGCCAGCCAGGGATAGGACGTAGGGGGCTCAGCCCATAATCAGGTGCTTTTATTGTCCCTCCTCCCCCCCCCCCCGGTCACTCATAAGGTAAAGGATCTGCTTGCTCATATTGCTGAGGACTACTGAGAAAATTGTATTTGTTCTGGGGCTTGTCCACAGTGGCTGGGCATATGGCAGGTACTGCCCCTTTTTCTCCTGAGCCCTGGGAGAATAGGTACATGGATGAGGCCACTCTGCTTCCTCGGCATGGCCAGGGGCTGCCCGGTCAGTGAATGCTGCTCACCAATAAAGTGACAGAGGTGACGAAAGAAGGGGGAAATCTTGGCTTCTGGTGAATCTTCTATCTGGATATGCAGAAGATTGTCAGGGTCATCTGCAAAACTGAACAGAGGGACCACACAGGTAATTAGGTAGACTTGCAGCTCCACATGGCATCCCTTGTCCTCAGCTAGACTGCGTGTGAGTTATTAGACCTCTCTCAGAAAACAAGTGCCCACCTCATGAGGGGGCTGTGTAGACGGAGAAAAGGCATGTGAATAAAGCATTAAGCACATCTCCTTGACTATGATATATGGGACATTGTTAGTACTATTGGTCAAAAACATAGTACTTTCCTAGAACTGAGTGCAGATAATTAAATGGAGATGGGCAAGTATATTCAATAACCTTGGAGAAGGAATCTGTTGTGTCAGGTGGAGAGAGCAGGCAAGGGGGTGGACATGGTGAGGCTGCTGCTTTATTTAGTTATTGATTATTTCTGAGACAGAGTGTTACTCTGTTGCCCAGGCTAGAATACTGTGGTGTCAGCCAAGCTCACAGCAACCTCAAACTATGGGGCTCAAGTGATCCTTCTGCCTCAGCCTCCTGAGTAGCTGGGACTACAGGCACCCACCAGTATGCCCAGCTAGTTTTTCTATTTTTAGGAGAGATGGGGGGTCTCTCTCTTGCTCAGGCTAGTCTTAAATTCCTGAGCTTAAGAGATCCTCCTGCTCTGGCCTCCCAGAGTGCTAAAATTACAGGTGTGAGCCATCAGCCAGCAAAGGGGGGTTGCTGCTCTAGACAGAGTATTCAGGGAAGGCTTTCCTGAGAAGGTGACATTTGAGTAGGGACTACTGGAGCCAGGCAGTTAGCTGCAGGGGAAAGCAGCCCAGGCAAGGGAGAGTGTGAGTACAAAGACCCTGATGGCAGTGTTTAGGGCACTGAAAAACAACTGGGAGATGAGAGTGGCTAGAGTTTTACAAGCAAAGGGGAGGGGTGGGGGAGGAGGTATGTGGCATAGCTGAGGGGAACATGTCTGCAAGGAGCTCAGCAGAATGCCTGGCATGCAGTAAACACTTATGGAGACTATGGTGGTATTCAGGAGTGTGCCGACCATTGAGGCATGCAGAAAGTTATAGAGATTCAGAAACAAAAATATGCTGGTTTCATTTCTACATGTAACTTGCTGTGACAAATACAAACATGATTCTCCATCCATCCTTCTCTCAGACATTCTCTTAATTCCTATTGTGTGTCAGATCTTGGTTGGACCCTTGTGGACACAAGGTAAATCAAATAGGGCCCCTCTCAGCTCTGAGGGACTCCCAGTCTGATAGCAAGTGGCTCCAATCCAAATGGCAAGATGTTGGGATAAAGACCTGCACATACTACTGGGTAGGAAGGGCAGAGAAAAGTCAGGGGGAGGTGGGGAAAGAGAGAGGCATCTGGAAGAAGGTTGAAGGATACAAAGTCAATATATAAAAACAGATTGCATTTTTATATACTAGCAACAAACAGCCAGAAACTGAAATTTTACAAATACAATTTATAATTGTCAAGAAAAGATCAAATACTTAGTAGAAAGAAATCTGACACAAGATGAGCAAGATCTATATACTGAAAACCAAGACATCCCTGAGAGAAATGAAGTAAAGGGAAAGATTGGTCATAATCATGAATCATCATCTCAACATTAATGTCAGTTCTCTCCACCTTCAACTGTGGATTTAGTTCAATCTCAATCAAAATTTCAAGAGGATTCCTTGTAGAAATTGGCACACAGATTCTAAAATTTATATGGAAATAAAAATGAAATAACTTTGGGGGAAAAAAAAGAATTAAATTAGAGGACTAGCAGTACCTGATTTCAAGATTTATTATAAAGCTACCAGAATCAAGAGTGTGGAATTAGTTAAAAAAAAAAAAAAAAAAGACACAGATCAATAGAAAATAACAAATTTAGATAGCCCCATATGTGCTCAACTATCCTTTCAACAAATGTTGTTGATCCATCCATATTCAAAACAATGAACTTCATTCCCTGTGTGGCACCATATACAAAATTATTTCAAAATGGATCATGAGATGTACAAGTTAAAACTATAAATTTTTAGAGGAAAATTGTTGTCAAATTTCAATTGTCCACATATGCAAGATATGGTGTTTGGGCTCTATTCTGCTCCATGGTTTTATTTTTCTCTCCTTGCACCAGTATCATCATGCCTTGCTTGCTGCGGTTTCATTGTCTTGATCTCTGGCTAAGCAAGCCTTCCCACTTGTTATTCTTTGATATATAGCTATTTTTTTCCTTTCCATCTCCATATAAATTGTAGAGTTACTTTATAAATGTCTATAAACCTACTAGAACTTTACTGGCATTACACTGAATCTATAGATTAACTGGGAAAGAATTGACACCTTTGGAAAACTGACTCTTCTAATCCATAACAATCCATAACTATAGTATATCCCTCTATCCAGGCAATCTTTAATAACTCACAGTAATGCTTTTGAATTTTCTGTGTAGAAATCTTAAACCTTCATTATATTCACTAACTTTTTTTGTTGCAAAATATATCTTTTTAAATTTTCATTTTCTGTTTAGCATTAGTATTCAGAAAAACAATTGATATTTGTGTGTAGTATGGATCTTATATCTAGCAACCTTATTTATTAGGTCTAATCATTTATGGGCAGACCGTTTTGGTTTTTCTCTGTATACAATCATATTGTCTATGAATAAAGAAAGTCTCATTTTTTTCTCCTTTTGCTTTTTGAAAATTTTTTTTTCTTGTTCTTGCCATTTTGTACCAGCTAGGAGCTCTAGCACAACATTAAATAGGAGTGGGAGTAATGACAATCTTTGTCTTGTTCCAAATCTGAGAGAGAAAACTGTCAACATTTCACCATAAAGTGTGATGTTTGCTGTAAAGACTTCCATAGATTTTTTTTTTTTAGATCAAGTAAGCTCCATTCCAAGTTTACTAAGAGATTTTGTTTAATCATGAATGCATAGTGAATATCATCAAATGTTTTCACTCATCTATTGAGATAATCCTGGGTTTCCTTTACTATTTATTGTTTCTTTTGTTGCTGTTGTTGTTGTTGTTTTAGTTTCTAGCCAGGGCTGGGCTTGAACCCACTACCTCTGGCATATGGGGCCAGCGCCCTACTCCTTTGAGCCACAGGAGCCGCCCATTTACTATTTATTGTTATGGTAGATTATATGGATTAATTTTACAGATATCAAAATATCATACTCTTATATCATACTCTTATAAAAACCCACTTTAGTGATCATGTAGTAAGCTTTTCATATATCACTGTATGCAGTGTGCTAATACAGACAGTTTTTACATCTATGTTCATGAAAAAATTAGTCTATAATTTACCTATATTACCATGTCTTTGTTAGGTTATGCAATCCCAGTTATGCTGGTCTCATACTGCGAAAGCAAGTTGACAACTGTTTCTCTTTTTTATTTTCTAAAAAGAAAAAAAAAGCTTACTATTGGCTTTATTTTCTCCTTAAACCTTGGGCAAAATGCATCATAGAAGGTATTCTAGTCTTGGAGTTTTCTCAATGGAAATTTCTTTATTAGTTATTAATACTAACCAAATTTTTATTTGAAGTCAGTTTATCTTTTTTTTTTTTTTTTTGAGACAGAGTCTCACTATGTCACCCTCAGTAGAATGCCATGGCACCACAGCTCACAACAACTTCAAACTCTTGGGCTTAAGCAATACTCTTGCCTTAGCCTTCCAACTCGCTGGGACTACAGGCACCTGCCACAATACTCAGCTTTTTTCATTGCAGTTGTCATTTCTGTTTAGCTGGCCTGGGCCAAGCTCCAACCTGCCAGCCTTGGTGCATGTGGCACCGTAACTACTATGCTACGGGTACCGAGCCTGAAATCGGTTTCGATAGGTTTCATTTTCTAATTTGTTCATTTCATCTAAATATAATTTATCATGGTAAAATTTTCATAATTTCTGCTGGCACCTATGGCTCAGTGAGTAGGGCTCCAGCCCCATTTACTGAGGGTGGTGGGTTCAAACCCAGCCCTGCCAAACAAAAAATAACCGGGTATTGTGATGGGCACCTGTGGTCCCAGCTAGTCGGGAGGCTGAGGCAAGAGAATCGCCTAAGCCCAGGAGTTGGAGGTTGCTGTGAGCTGTGATACCATAGCGCCTACCAAGGGTGAGAAAGTGAGACTCAGTCTCTAAAAAAAATTTTTTAAAATTCATAATTTCGTCTTATGATCTTTTTGATAGCTATAGGATATGGAGAGTCTCCTTTCACATATGGTATTTTATCCCTTCTCTTTTTTGCCAAGAGTTTATCAATTTAACTTTTTAAAATTATTATTATTATTATTATTATTGTTTGAGACAGAGTCTCACTTTGTTGCCCCCAGTAGAGTACCCTGGCATCACAGCTCACAGCAACCTTTAACTCCTGGGCTCAAGCAACTCTCTTGCCTCAGTCTCCCAATTAACTGGGACTACAGGTGCCCGCCACAACACCCAGCTATTTTTAGAGATGGGTTTCACTCTAAATGATACTACAGGACTCTACCAAGGGCGACAAAGTGAGACTCTGTCTTAAAAAAAGATAAAATAAAAACTATTTCGACTTTCTTGAAACTCTCTTTTTTATTGTTTCTATTTGAATAATCTGCACTTACTATTTCTTCCTGCTTTATTGGGACCAATTTGCTGTTCCTAGGCTGGGTGCAGTGGCTCCCGCCTGTAATCCTAGCACTCTGAGAGGCTAAGGTGGGTGGATCACCTGAGCTCACGAGTTCAAGACCAGCCTGAGCCAGAGCTAAACCTCATCGCTAAAAATAACTGGGCATTGTGCCAGGTGCCTATAGTTCCAGCTACTCAGGAGGCTGAGGCAAAAGAATCACTTGAGCCCAAGAGTTTGAGGTTGCTATGAGCTGTGACGGCATAGAACTCTACCAAGGTCGACAAAGCAAGACTCTGTCTCAAAATTAAAAAAAAAATTATGCTCTTCCTTTGGTAATTTCTTGAGATGAATGCTTACCTAGGTGATTTTTGGTCTTTCATTTAAGGCTATAAATTTCCCTCTAAACACAGTTCAGTTATATTCCAAAGAT